TGATGAGACTGATGATGTGCTGTATGGAGATGGTCATGAGACTCTGGTCGTTCGCAAGAGTCTACTTACCCCCAAGGGCAATTCAGGGGACGATTGGTTGAGAACCAATATTTTCCACACGACTTGCACAGTTGCAGATAAAGTCTGCAAAATGATCATTGACAGCGGCAGTTGTGAGAATGTAGTGTCCAAAGAGGTTGTCCAGAAATTGCAGTTGAAGACGGACCGTCATCCTAAGCCATACAAGTTGTCATGGCTAAATAAAGACAGTGAGGTAACAGTTGATAGGCGATGCCTCGTGTCTTTTTCAATTGGTAGAAAATATTTTGATAATGCCTGGTGTGATGTTGTGTCTATGGATGCGTGTCATATATTGTTGGGTCGACCTTGGCAGTATTATCGCAGTCTCATTCATGATGGACGGAAGAATACATATTCCCTTAGCATCAAGGGAAAAAAGATTGTGTTGGCACCCCGGCGGGAAGGACTTACTCCTACCCCAGTAACCCATAATACTAATCTGCTTTCTATGTCCAAGTTTTTAGATGAGATTGAGCATGGCGGCGTGGTCTATGCCTTGCTACCTTGCGAGAACAATGCAGTAGACGTGGATACAGATTTACCAGTAGAGGTGCAGCGGCTGCTAGCAGAATTCTCTAACTTGATGCCAGAGGATCTTCCTCCTGGACTACCACCTATGAGGGATATTCAGCATCAAATTGACCTTGTTCCTGGGTCAAGTTTGCCAAATCGACCAGCATATCGCCTCAGTCCCAAGGAGGCCGAAGAGTTGCAGCGACAGGTGGAAGAGTTGTTGGAGAGGGGCTATATCCGAGAGAGTATGAGCCCACGTGCAGTCCCTGCTCTGTTAGTGCCAAAGAAAGATGGTTCTTGGCGTATGTGTGTTGACAGCCGAGCGATCAACAGAATTACAGTGAAGTACCGGTTTCCAATTCCCCGTCTAGATGATATGTTGGATCAGCTATCTGGTTCTAAGATCTTCTCAAAAATTGACCTTAAGAGCGGTTACCACCAAATCAGAATAAGGCCTGGAGATGAGTGGAAGACGGCGTTTAAAACGCCACAAGGGTTGTATGAGTGGATGGTCATGCCTTTTGGGTTATCCAATGCGCCCAGTACATTCATGAGATTTATGCATCAGGTCTTGCGACCTTTTATGGGGAAATTTGTTGTAGTTTACTTCGATGATATCCTCGTTTATAGTCCGACATGGACTTCACACTTCGATCACCTCCGTGCTGTTTTTGAGATGCTGAAAACGGAGTGCTTGTTTGTCAATCAAAAGAAGTGTTCTTTCTTCACTACTTCTGTGACTTTTCTTGGTTTTGTTGTGTCTACTGATGGTGTTCATGCAGATCAGTCAAAGATAGATGCAGTCTTGGAGTGGCCCAGACCAAGAACCTTACATGACATCCGAAGTTTCCATGGCTTCACTACTCTGATCGCCCCTATCACAGAGTGCCTCAGGGGGCGTGATTTCCAGTGGTCTGAGGAGGCAGAGGCCAGTTTTCAACTGGTCAAGCAGAAGATGACCGAGGCTCCAGTTTTGGCACTTCCAGATTTTGACAAAGTGTTCGAGGTAAATTGTGATGCATCTGGCGTTGGCATTGGTGGTGTTCTGAGTCAGGCAGGTCGTCCGGTTGCTTTTTTCAGTGAAAAGCTATCGGGATCAAAGAAAAATTATTCCACTTATGATCTGGAGTTCTATGCCATAGTTCAATCCCTGAAGCATTGGCGTCACTACCTAGTACAGAAGGAGTTTATTCTGTTTACCGATCATGAGGCCTTGAAGTACATCAATGGCCAACACAAGCTGAGTAGACGTCATGCCAAGTGGGTAGCATACTTGCAAGAATTCACTTTTACGCTGAGGCACCAAGCAGGGAGTTTGAACCGCGTCGCAGATGCCCTGAGCCGTCGTACCTTACTTCTCACCACCATGAGTACTAAAGTTGCAGGATTTGAGACGTTCACAGATATGTATGCAGCTGATCCTTCCTTTGGAAGGATATTTCAGGAGGTAACTGAGGGTCACCGTCATGATTTTGTTTTGCATAATGGGTATCTGTTTCGTGGATTACAATTGTGCATTCCAGATTGTTCATTGAGGCAGCAAATTATAAGTGAACTCCATAATGAGGGACACTTTGGCCGAGATAAGACATTGGCCCTTATCTCTTCTGAATTTTATTGGCCCAAGTTGACTAGTGATGTGGCCCATTATGTGGACCGTTGTTATGTGTGCCAGCGGTCTAAGGGAGTTCTCACCAATGCGAGATTGTACACTCCCTTACCTGTTCCTGAAGCTCCTTGGTTCGATGTCAGCATGGATTTTGTACTAGGCTTACCCCGCACCCAAAGGGCCTCTGATTCTATCTTTGTTGTAGTTGACAGGTTTTCCAAGACGGCTCATTTTGTAGCTTGCAGAAAGACTATGGATGCTGACCGGATTGCCCATCTCTATTTCAAGGAGATTGTGCGTTTACATGGTGTTCCTCGATCCATCACTTCAGATCGTGATACTAAGTTCATCAGTCATTTCTGGAAGAGCCTGTGGGGGAAACTGGGAACGCAGTTGAATTTCAGTAGTGCCTACCACCCCCAGACGGATGGCCAGACTGAGGTGGTGAACCGAAGTTTGGGAAACCTTTTAAGGTGTTTGGCAGGAACGAAGCCGAATCAGTGGGATTTGGCATTGCCTCAGGCAGAATTTGCCTACAACAGATCAAAAAACAGAACCACAGGTTTAAGCCCATTTGAGATTGTCTATGGTCAGAACCCATCCGGGGTGTTGGACTTAGCCCCTATTCCACGTATAGGGCGTTTCAGTCCTAAAGTAGATGAGATGGCAAAGTATCTTCGGGGTATCCATGAGCAGGTGAAACAGACCATTCATGAGAGCAATACCAAGTACAAGACTCGGGTCGACAATCATCGTCGTCAGGTACTTTTTGAAGTTGGTGATTTTGTTTGGGCTGTATTAACTCGTGATCGTTTTCCTGTTGGTGAGTATAATAAGCTTAAGGATCGGAAGATTGGACCTTGTGAGGTCGTGCAGAAGATCAATGATAATGCTTACAGGTTGCGACTTCCCAGTCACTTGAAGACTTCTGATGTCTTTAATGTGAAGCACCTGAGTCATTGTTTTGTGAATCCTGATGACACTACTCTGAACTCGAGGACGAGTTCTTTCCAACCCGGGGTGACTGATGCAGGGGGATCCGAGACAGATGATGCTGAGCTGTCAGATTGCACGTTGATGGCGCTGAGATACCATGAGTTGGCAGATCAGCGCAAAGGCGGGAATTGATTGTGACATGTTCCTCATTGGGGTCGTTTTGAGTATGTTTCAGTCTTTTGGCCATAACTTTGGCTACAGGTGTCAGAATCGCGCATAAGACCCCAATCCGGAAAGCTCTTTTCGACGCACACGCTCTCCACATGGAGCTATGCTCCATGTGGCCTTTTTTTCAACCTCAAATTCTGCCGTTTTCCCCTCCGAATCACTAGATTTAGTTATTTTTTACTATTTATGGTAATATTTCGATTGTTAATTAGGAAGTCAATTTAAATCCGATTTAGGTCGGATTTTTGGGAGATTGCTTATTTTATTTCGAATTTCAATTTAGAGTGATTTTCGGGATTTTGCTATTTTTGGCAAAATTCGAATAAAGACGATTTTTTTGCTATAACAGTCCGGCTTGTGGACTGCTTTTTGGATTGTTTTGATTTTATAATATTTTATTAAACCCTAGAGACTTTTTTTTCTCTGGTTTTTGGGCGAATTTTCTCTTGTGAATCGTCTGTCGGAACTAGCCTACAGGATAATCACTATTCTGTCTGGCGTCACTACTTGCATGAACTCCTTTTGTGCTACCTTGCATTGAATCCCAAAAGTACTCACAAGTTTATCGTCGGATCGTTTGCTGATCTTGTTGTTAGCCTCTTGTCAATGGAAGGTGACGTTACTAAAATCGCCGGCGGCAAGATTCCACGGCAGTGCATGTAAACTTCGATGAATTGTAGTTACATTTTAGTATTGTTGATTTGCAGGCAAATCATATAAATAATTAGTAAAGTTTGTAAGTCAATTCAAGTGAAGAGGAAAAGTATAGTTCAATAGTTGACGAATGCAGCCTGGAAGATAATAGGGATAAAGCAACTTTCAGTATCTGAATTTAAAAACTTTTCTCAATTTGATCCTTGAATATTTTTCATATTAGCCCATGAATTCCATTACTTTTCTATTTTTAGTCCTTTTTGATGATTTTACATTATAATACTATATCATAATATTCACTCTTATAGCATCACATCATTAAAATAAACTAAAATTAAAATTTAATATGAATAAAAAATTAAGAGTAACATTGAAAAATAAATTTAAGAACTAAAAATTACATTGAAGAGAACCCTAGGCATGAGTTTAATGACATGTTTAATAAATTTGTAATATTGTGCTTAAAATTTAAATATATTTAACTTAATAGTAATTTTTTTTTTATAAAAAAACCATGATAGAGGAAATGATAGCAATGGGTCTAAAAATTGCACGAATTGGACAATTAAAGATTAAAAGATACAAGTGTCCTTTTGTTTTGTACATAATATTTTTATGAATGTTAAATAACTCAAAATTTTGATTAATTAATATATGCTCTCTACTTGTCCTAATACAATTTTATATTTTTTTCAAGGCAAGTGAACAATAAATTGTGCACGTGATTTGAACCGTACATTTGTCCATCCATGTTGCACCTAAGAGTTTTGAAACAATGGGTGATGGATCACATGCTTATGTCATGTCACTACCTAAATAGAGAAACTAAACTTGTTTAAAAATTCTATAACACAAATAATTTAGGTAAAAAGAGCACTGGTGATGAAATGTGCATTTAACAAAATGCATGGGACAGTCACAGCATATACAAAAATACGCAATGGCGTTGAGCTACTCTAAACAATATTGTTGGCCTATTCTGTACACAGATGGGGGGGGGGAGCCACCGTATGCATCCCTAAAGCTAGCCTTCCATGGCATCCATTAATCCAGGCTCCAATTGTTAATTCTTTCATAATTTTAACCATCAGAAACTCTATACTAAGCATACAGAAATCTAGTACCTTGATTAGTAGCTGCCATTCAAAAATGGACACTCGTACTAAATAACATATAACGAAACAGAAGGAGCTTGGTTAAACAAAACTATCACCTCGGATTATCGTATGATTCACTCCTCTGATGGAAACATGGTGAAGAGTCACTCCAGAATTTAGAATTCGTTAAGTTCCATAATCACGGTCAACTTGAGAACTCAATAAAGGGTGCTCAGGGGATTTGGTATATTCAACTGAGTCATATTAGTAAATATATTACCTTTCAGATATATCAGACTGTGTTGCAGTTGATGTTTATCTGATCAGTAATGTTAGTAATGGCAACCTCAGAACCTGCTGAGACGATCTCTGTGGACATGCGCATGCACTGCTGCAATTTTTCGTTTATGGAAGCATCATTGCAATCTGTATGGGAAGTTACATCAATTGGAGCCGAGACTTCTCCGGAAGTTTCCATCTGTCACCCTGTTGGGAAGGACTACTTGTACTGACATTGGATGCAGCATTATAATGGCCATTTGCAGCTTGTTGAGCACTTCGGAAAGATGATGGAGAAGTTTGGTTGGTGGCACTTTTGGAAGTAGCTTGGCAATCTTTTGCTAATTCAGACAGGACTGTCTTATCAACACCGGAAACACATTCTACAATCTGTAATTTTGAACTCTCATGGTGCTTCAAGTCATTTGCATCCACAGATATCTCAACTGTACCTTCGAAACCATTAGAAACAATTTCCTTACCAAAATCCGGCGCATGAACAACTGCCGCTTCATTGTCAGCATGGACAATATTATCAGAGTCTTTGATAGAACCTTCATGCTTAGAATCAAGGTCCCGTTTAACAAAACTTTCATCGGGTGCTGGAATGCAAGATGAAGAAACAGTACTGGTCTCGGGAAGATTTATAGTATCAGCCATTATATGAGAAGTATATTTCAAGGTGTCATCAGAAAGTGGCATTGTAGATTCGACAGCAGCGGGTTCATTTCTATCATCTGTTTCAGGTGCAGGACTCTCGGCAGACACATTCAAATCAAACATAACTGGGCACTTCTTTCCAGATTTAGAGGATGCCTCACCTGTCATCTGCTCCTTCATAACATGTGTCTGCATAGGTTTCTGTAACATATCTACACCGGGAAAGACCAGCATATTCATGTTACTCATCTTCGACTTGCATGCAGTTTCTAGTGGTTCGAAACCAAAGACAGAAGTCCATGTTTCCCTCAGTTCTGGGACGGCAGGTATGACTAATTTCTCAACATTCAGGGAGCTGAGGGCCTGAAAAATCAGGGAAAGAGAAAAAGAAACATAAAAAATGAAATCCACTTGAAACATATTAATTAAAATCAAAATAGCGTAATTTCATATCACTGTCACACTATTACTCTTTACAGGGAAAAAGTAATTTGATATCTGGTCATAATGTCTAATCTTTTGAAAAAATATTAATCCACTTATTAAGTAGCATCAACCCCCCCCCCCCCCAAAAAATGTGGCAGGAAGTGCCCTGGTGTATAACACTAGTCATACACAGTTACATACAAAAAAAAATGTAAATGTCAAAATTCGTAAAAATGCAATTAATACTCCAGCAATATAACACAAAATACAAATACATACAAAGAGAACATTGAGTTAGACATACAAATTCAATCGCGCAAAGAAGCCGGCAACACATCCCTTGACGCCTATAGACATACCGTGTCCCAATGAAAGGCATCTCGGCTAACAGGTTCCCATGGATCCTGTTAGTCCAAAAATTAAATAATTGTAATTATTAGGATTAAACCAAATAAGTGCAAAAGTTAGGCAAATGGGTAGGTTCATTTGGTTATGATCAACAAATATACAATAACAAATATTACAAGGTAGAATTTGGAAACTTGGATTTTAGAATTTTGGAATTGGGCTTAAATGATGGTGTGAATTGAGTAATAAAATACTTAGAAAACCAACATTAATTATTATTTCTCAAATCCATGGATTTGTTATATACTTATTTAGTGGTGAATTTGAAATTCCTAATATATTTTTGGATTTTATATCCATGTTTTTATAATTTATGCTTTTTCAACTATATATCATATTGAATCTTAACTATTTCTTCATAATGTAAGCTTTTCATTCTTGCTATTTACATAGCAAATGGAATCCAAATGGAGCACAAAGGTATTTATGAATATGAAACAAACAGCAGTTTGTTAAATCTTCGGTCTAAATATATTCACATATTAGTGGAGTAGTTGCTATTTGGATGGGGAGCTAACTGAACAAGATAACTTAAAAAGTAAATGTCTAGAAACTATCAGCAGAGGAACGAAAGGAAGGTGATCAAGAGTGCTTAAAAGGATGAGTCGACATGGCAAGATGAATATGTTATATTATCACTCTTAAAATGTAAAGACATTATTTCTACATATTCTATACTATAATTCACAATTAACTAAAAACAGAAGGATTACCTGATAGATGCTGCAGAAATAATCTCATCCCCCCTTTCTAGAATTGCAGTGTAAAAGCCACTGTAGTTTAGCCTAGTGAAGTTTGACCTGAGAACAAATGGAGATTAATAATTTATCTGAAACAAAAATGTCTAGGTCTTATTCAGTTTCAAAAGTAGAGCAACTATAGTTGCGAAGAAAAATCAAATATCACTTCACTATAAAGCCATTAGCTTGTCCTCCAGATTTTCACATAGCAAGAATAGTACCATTCAACCACAAAAAGAATGACACACAATCTGTTAAAATGGAAGCCTTTAAAAGTTCATATTGTTATAGTAACTATTGTAATGTATAAATGTCATATCAGGTCATCACTATATATGTTGCCTGTTTGGATTGTTTTTATCTACAAATTTAGAACCGTTTGCCATCATTCTATTTAACATCTCCTAGATCTGCAGGCCTAGGGCAAGATTAGCATTGCAAAAAAGTTCTTCTCTAAACACTTAAGCAGTGACATATTAAACTTTAAATTAGGGCTATTGAAGAACATAGTTCTGCTCACATCTTTGTTGCCAAAACCCAAAAAAAAAAACCTAAAAAAATTGAAGACATTTGTACAGCACCAAACTAAAATATCAAATCATAGTCAGAAGGAAAAGCCAAGTTTACTTCAAGAATGTAATATAGACTCAAGTACAGATGGAACACATACCAAAAATTATAGACAATATTATGAATCAGATTGATCCCACTTCTGTGGTCAACAAGAGGCAAAAAACACTCATCCATCACGGATAATGCAACAGCTAGCTTTGAATTTGATTCAACCTTCTGATATGCTTCATTGAGACAAACATCTGACCTGATATCATAGCGCTGAACAAGGGTCCATGAGAAACCTTCTGGAAGTTCATGTTTAACCCCAACTAGCTTCTGAAGTCTCTCAAACAACTAGAAAAAGCAAAGGACTTCAAAATCAACTTCAAAACATAGAAAATAGCAACCCCCCGCCCCGTTTCAAAAGGGTGAGGTATTAATGAATTCTACACATTCAAAGTCAGAGCATAACATGTCTGCAAATGAGTAGCTCTCAAAGAGAGCCAGAGATTGGTTGAATGGACACAACAGGATGGGGCTCCCTTCCAATTCTTGCTAAACATAACGCACAAGATGGGATCAATATAGTGTCTAAATCCAATAACAGAAACATCTCTAGTAGATAAAGAGTTAGACTCCTGATAAAGAAATAGAGACAACCCTTAAATTTGACAAAGCGAGAACCACAATCATTTCATACCAGCAGGCAAAACTTACAAACAGTAAAAAATAGCAATTAAAACTATATTTACAAATCTAGCAAAGTACAAGTTCCCCACAGCACAATTATATCAATTGCAAACTAAAATTATACCTCTTTGCATCTCCTCCCACAAAAGAATGCACGACTTGAAACATCATCAAAAGCATCCGTGGGCTGAATACATGGTTCATGATCTACCCAAAAATTACTTCAGAAATGAATGGCATATAATAGCAAGAACAATAACAACGGCACCAAAATTAAAAATAAAGGTCGAGGGGAATCAACAATCAACATATATACAAAACAGCTTGGAACTTAACAAAGGCATACATTTTTCTTCACATAAATGGCATGTTAGAACTGTAGGAACTGCATCATCATCTTTGCCCATTTGGCGTGCGTTTCCAACCATTCCACAATATTTGCATGTACAATAGACACAGTTCCAGTTTCCTGAAGGGAATGCCTGTGGCAAAGAAAAGAAAACCAGAAGAGTAGATTAAGCACAATCAAGATTTTAATTTACTTCTACATGTAACTCCCAAAAAGAAAAACAACACAGAAATAGAATTCTCAAACACAGGTTTCCTTCTGGCTACTTCTCACAAATGATTTTCATTGAAGTAACTTCAGCAAAGAAATTCCTTTCCAAAAGCCTCCAACAAAGAATTCCAAGCATAAGTTTCAATCTATGCATGTTGATCTAAGTTTCTGTCACTGTTTGATCCTAGTGAATAGTCTAAACATGAATATACAAAAACTTACGGGTATTCTTCCACACCCGATCCCATTGATCAAATAGATTTCATTGTCTGCTAAAGGTAAAAAAAAATATTAAGCATTTCCCCATATTTTTCATGTGCTCTAGTACTGAAAAACTATTACAGACAAAATAAAAGTTGATAAAGGGAGCTAGATCCCATATGCATGTACTAAAGGCATATGGCAACAAGTACTTACTTCTATATCTAAGCAACTTTGATGGAATGTTGATGGGCAACTATCACAACATATCAAATCACCACCATCCCCACAAATACCGCAGGTATCGTCATTTGGGTCTTCACCACCAAAATCCAAAAAATGGAGGCCCTTACGATCAGACTGCTTTTGTTTGTTCCATGCATCTAATAAGCATTGCAACAGGGGAACTCCTGTTTCTAAACATATATTCTGAAAAGGTCGATGGACTTTGATCCCCGCATGAGTTTCAAACTCTGCAATGGTGAAGACATCACTACAACAGTTGCATTGGATGCCATCCCTAGTTATCTTACCAGAAATACTCTCACAAGTACGTGTTCTTTTTTGAATAAAATATTCCACCTTCCCATCCTGTGGAACAGTTCCCGAATCAATCATCCAAGAAAGCAGAGTTCGTTTTCCTTCATATAGCACATAACCACCACTATCAGATTCAGCTCCATCCATAGAGTTGCGAACCAACAAAGCATATCGCTTTCTCTTTTGTGTCTGCTGTAGTTTACGCTTCCTGCTCGATACTTGTGTTCCCCTTTGTAAAGTACCATCAGAATTCATCTCTTCATGAAGTGAAAGCTTCTCTTTTGGGACCTTTTGTTTTTTCTTTTTGGCATTGTCCTCCCATTTCCTTTTTCGCTTATTCATTTTCTTTTTAACTCGTCCATCATCCTCTGTATCGTCATCCTCCCCTTTTTGCTTCTTTTTCCGACCCTTTTCTTTAGAACTATTCTTTTTAGGATGCTAAGTTCTTCTTCAGGAATCGGAGTAAATACGAAACCATTAGGACAAACCTTCGAATAGCCCTTCTCATAATTCTTTTTAAGCATCCTGTAGGCCAACGTTACTGACCAGTGAGTCCTTCCTTCAGGATTAACATACACTGCATCGTTGTACTCTTTATTATTCTGGGGCCTGTAATCAATTGTCCAACCTGCTGCTTTAAGCATATTCACTATTCGATCTCTCAAAGCTTGTTTTACTTTTGACCTTCTCAGTTCCCCTTCATCTCCGGCTTCCTTTACTCCCGTTTCATTGCCTTCCACTGTAACAACCTTAGGTCTTAACATTAGTGAAGCCTTGCTCTCATTCTTTTCAATAAAATCAAATTTATCCTTATTAGCAGACCTCTTTAGATTTGATTCTTTCCCAATCAGTAACTTCTCTGCATATGAAGTATTAGCAGGCATATTAATCTTTAAATTCCTCCTCAACTTCTTTCTACCTCTTTTTAGCCCAACCAACTTTTTTCTCCCATCTATAATCCTCCCCTTCAAACCCTCACTACCACCCTGAAGCTTTGCTGGTCTTCCACGCTTACGGATCACACCTTCCTTTACCTTGCTTTTACATTGATCAATCCCTTCCATTTCCAATTCAACTAGTTTATTTGGTAACTCATCACTGCCCTGCACTTTAGGCGGCCTCCCACGCTGATGCATGAACTTCTTCCTTGACTCACAATCAAAGGGATCGCTTCCTCCCATTTCGGTATCAACAGCTTTCTTCTCAACCCCATCATTGAGATGCATCTTGGGTGGTGACTCATGCTTGTGATTTGCCTCCTTCCTTGTCTCAACATCAGAGTGATAACTCTCTCCTGCTTTTACCCCATCCACTTCCTTCTCAAATTTCTGAGTTCTCTGTCTCGTCAATGGCCTGCCATGCCCACAGTTATTATTTGACTTCTTAATGCCACTACCATCAGATTGATCACTTCCTTCTGCTTCCACATTAATTTCTTTCTTCTCAACCCCACTATTCTCCTGCACCTTCCGTGGTCTACCACGCTTACCCTTAGACTCCTTAGCTGTATTCTCAACAGAGCAATTACTCTCCCCTGCTTCTATACTAAATCCTTTCTTTACAGACCCGTCATTGCCCAGTAGCTTGGGTGGCCTTCCACGCTTGCGCTTCTTCCTCACTTTACCACCTGGGCATTCATTCTCTCCTACATGCTGCTCGAGTGTCTTCCTCTCAAACCCCGTCTTCCCTTGAAACTTGGGTGGTCTTCCACGCTTACCCTTAGATTCCATAGTTGTATCCTCATCAAAGCAATCACTCTCTCCTGCTTCTATAATAAATCCTTTCTTTACAGACCCGTCATTGCCCAGTACCTTGGGTCGTCTTCCGCGCTTGCGCTTGCGCTTCTTCCTCACTTTACCATCCGGGCAATCATTCTCTCCTGCATATCGTTTGAGTGTCTTCTTCTCAAATCCCTTCTTCCCTTGACGCTTGGGAGATCTATCACACTTACCCTTTACCGCCTTAGCAACTTCTCTCTGCTCCTCCACTTCACCATGAGACTGATCATTCCCCTCCTTAACCACCTCAATTGGTTTTGTCTCAGAATCATTGCCATCTACAGTTTTATCAACCCCACTCCCAATCTTATCACCTTCGATCACACTCCCAGTTTTCACTGCATACATTGACCGTAAAACCCTGCCAGAAAACTGGACTTTTTTCTTCACACTATCTTCTTTAGTATCTACATTATCCTCCACCAATCCTCCCTTTTCCGTATCATCCTCATCAGATTCATCAACTTGCGGATTACCCGCTTGACCATCTTCCCCACATTCTTCAATGTCCTCTTCTTTCTCAAATTCAACCTCTTTCAAAGAGCACCCTAACGGATCATCATTTAAACCAAGAACCGGTTGCTTCACACCATCCCCATTATTTTCCTCAATGTCTTGCCTTGGCAAAACCTCACTCTCATCAGGTTTCAACTGCAAACAGCTAGATCCTCGGCCCTCTTCCATCTCTTACAAAACCCTAGATTCAAGAAGGCACCCTTTTCTTTCTTCGCTCAGAAAATCATCACACCGTGCATCACATCAACAAAAAACCAGTAGACAAGGCCCATTGGTTTCATCTTGACAACAGAAAATTTAACTGCCCAAACTACAAAAAAGGATATCGCAAAAGTCTAAAATCAAGAGACCTGAATTAAAAGGCCATAAGAAATCAAAGAAAAACAAAATTCCTAAATAGAAAGTGACAAAGAATCGTATCAGAACCGGCGGAAAGTGATCACGCACCTTACCCCCAATGCAGCAGATTGAAATAGGATCCTATCGTACCACAGCGTCGTATCAGACTACGGAAATAGAGAGCTGAAGGTCACTCCAATGGCGTTTCAAATTAACTTTGGGGGATTATTAAAGTTGGGGGTAGAGAAAGGGATAGATTTAGGATTTTAGGGGCTCTCTAGTGTTGGGGTTTTGATTTTTAGTACGGCTTATTAGAGTGGTTTGGTTACATAGACGCACCAAAAGGTCCAAAACCACCCTGTCTTCATGGGTAAGATTGTCTTTTACACCGTGCCTTCATTTTCATTTTCATTTTCCCTCCATATTTGCGCACGATTTCCCTTCCTCCTTAATTGAAAATCTAAAAAGTTGCTGTGTTTAATCCCAAAAATAAATAAATAAATAATCGAAGTTTCTGTCTAATAAATACTTAGGTGGTGTTTATTTTTTATTGTGTAAGGTTTACAAAACTCTTATGTCTGTATCGCTCAAATCACGTGTAGACATTTAACTTCGTAGACCGTTTATTTTTAGAAAACAGAAACTCTTCTAATGTCTACGCGTTGTCTGCGCGGCGCAGACGTGACCTGATGTTTACATACCTCTTCAAAGAGATTTTATATTTAATTATATATTATATTTGATTTTAATTTTAATTTTAATATTGATTTTTTTAAATAAATTAAATATTAATTTTTTTAATATTATATTATAGATATTTAATTTTATATCATATAAATTATTTTATATGTTATTAAAATTTTATATTTATTTTTATTATTTTGATTTAAGTTTAAATATAATATTTTTTTGGATTTGTTATTTTTAAATTATATTTAAACTTTTTATAAAAAAAATATAAGTATTTAAACCACATTGCTTAATAAAAATGATTTCATTGTTTGATAATTAAGATTTTAAAATATAAAAAATTATAAATTATGTTTTTAAAAATTTAAAAATATAATCACAATTAAATAAAAAATAATCATAAAATAATTTTATAAATTTAAAAATATTTTCTAAAAATATCATATAATTATAAAAATAAATTATGAATATATATTTAAAAAAATTAAAAGTATTATCTAATTTCATATTTAAAAAATCATATAATTTAATGATCATTTATAAATTTTATTCTATAAAACTTATAAAACTAATAATACATATGCTTACGTGAGACTTATAATAGAATTAATAAGGTGGTGTTTGTTTTTCTAAAAAAATTATTATTGTAGTTGTATGAATTATTTAAATTTCAGTATTGTAAAACTAAAATTATTTAAATCTCAGTATTGCAAAACTCTTTTAAGTTTAAAAAATCAGTTTATTTATATTTCAGTTTATTTTAACAGTCTGCAGACGTTAAAAAACAAACAGTCTTCTTCTTGCAGACTGCAGACTTTTGGTTCACCTCTTCTGCTGCAGATGTCTGCAGATGTAATCCGTAGACTGCAGACCTTTTACCTCTGCAAAAACAAACACCACCTTAGTTTCTATATTCTTATACTAATTTAAAATTTATGAACTAAGTTTCAGATACGTGTTAACAGATAACTAATTTGATAATATCTTTTTACATATTAAAATTATAGATAATTTTTTTTAAATATATATTGTTATATGTAAATTTTAATTTTACATAATTATAAAATAAAATTTTAATTTGGTTTTCATAAATCTCTAAAATCATTATCAAAGTTATATCATTTTACATTTGCATTTTAAATTTGTGTTTTGTTAATGTAAAATAGATCAAAAAATATATTTTTTATTAGTGGTTAGGTAAATGATCTGAGATGTGAGTAGTAAAATCATTTGAACAGCGAACCGATTAGACTAGTAAAAAAAACAATGCTTGGACTGGGCTCCTTCTGATGGGCGAACCCCAAAAAGATCCTATACTCAAATTTAGCCCAACTTACAAATGAAAAATGAACTAAGTCTCTCAAACTATTGTTGTATTCGTATTCGTCCCCAAAAAAAATCCCAATTTTCTTTTTTTTCTTTTTTATGTTTATTTGAAAATTTTAAGACTTTGAACTTGTTTTTTTTCCCTTACTTATTGGATGAAAAAAGGAACTCAATTGTACATAAATATATTATTATTATACGGAATACGGTTTCGATACATGAAAGGAAAAAGCCCGATAATTTATTAATAATTATTTTAAGTTAAATAGATTATAATGACAGTTTTATAACAAAAGTAAGACTTTTTAATATGAAAATGAGGCGAAGCCAATATATGAGACTCTTACATGTATGTGAGGACCATAGATATTTCTATGCATTGAGCAAACTATCTGGAGATGTCTAGAAAACGGAGAGTATTCCATCCGGTAAGAAATCAATTTTGTTTATGCAGTTAGCCGTCTCATTAGCTTCACATCGGATCAAATATAAATCAACGCCCCAAGTCTTGTTACATGCGTTAACGATGGATCTCATCAAAGTAGAGGGGTAGGGATTGCAAACAGGCGGGTCGGGTGTGGATATCCCCTCCCTCATCCTCATACCTACCTAATATTTTTCAATCTACCACTCGCCCACCACCCATGATGGGTAAAAATTTTCATATACACACCCCCATGCGGGTACATTCTCAAATACATCCCCACACTCATTATCCAACTAGATATGTATCCGGCTAGACCCGCTTGACATCAAACTTAAGTTATACATAAACAACAAATACATAAATAAAACTAATACTTACTCATTTTGCCCTAAACTGATACCAAGTAGTCTAAGCTCCATTCCAATCCGAATTTCAATACGTTTCCACAGTTTTGATAAGTTTTGATATGTTCCAACCAGTATCAATGCATGCATATTGATATAAGATTTCGACATTTTAACTAAAAAAACGAGTATTTTATTATGCAATCCCTTCCAATATCCTAAGACAGTGAATTTTTTATACCAAAAACACCACAAAATCCAACATCATTTGAAGATCGGAAGAAACATGATAGTAACAAATGAAACTGAGAAATATGTAGAACACATACTGCCTTTGAAGATCAGCGCAGTAATGACTAATGAGAGGTTTGAAAGGAAAAAAATTATGCATAAACTTAAATTATCCCTAATATTTGGTTAAATAACCAGTTATATCTTATACAATATTAGGATTTATAAATTAGTCTTTAAAATTACACCTAAATTCATAATGGTCCAAAATGTAATAGATATTTAGCTGCCCGGGCAGATGCGGGGCGGGTAAGGTGTCAAACCCATTACCCGTCCACTACTCGCGACGGGTACCACTTTCTAAATCTAGTCCGGTCCACTACCCACTAAAATTATACCCATCCCTGCCCCAATTGGAGCGAGTGCGGCACGGAATCCACGAAATTGTACTCGTTTGCCATCCCTATAGAGGGGCTCTCAGAAGAAGGTGACGGGATAAACTTAAGGAAATCAACATTGTCCGTCTGAACCATAACACATTCGAAGCCATTTAACCAAGCGAGTTTCTACAACTTCTCACTGCAATTCTATTACCAAAAGTCCCTGCAAGAACAGATACCATCCTTAAAATGATGGAATCTATTAGCATCTCTCAAAATGATCTCTCTCTGGGTTACTTTTGCTATTAGTTTAATTGCAGTGTGGCAATCTCCACAAACACGAAGATTTTTCATGACACGAATAGGTGCCTCCTTCCGAACCTTCAACAACCCATATGCCACAGCCAATTTCTCACTGTGATATCTCAAGCTATGCCACTTCTCTTCCTCCTCCACATCATGCAGCACAAAGCTTCCATCAGGATTATACCCGGCTTCTCTCAACAACACACCTATTTCCTCCAACATCCTCATGATCATTGCATGCTCAGGATGTGCCCTCACATCACCTGTAGTGAACATATGAACCCTTTTCTCGACCTCAATCCAGCTAGAACCGGGTGATTTCTTCACACATCTTACCCTCATGTTTTTTCTCAGATTCGCAGCGTCGGTCCATTTACCTTGGGATGCATATATATTCGACAACAGGATGTAGGGGCCAGCATTTTCAGGCTCAAGCTTTAGAAGCTTCTTTGCTGCAACTTCAGCCAGATCCAACTTTCCATGTGTTCTACAGGCCCCTAACAGAGAACCCCAAACAGCAGCATCTGCATCCATGGGCATTTTTTCAATCAAATTCATTGCCCCGTTTACCTGGCCTGCTCGACCGAGCAAATCCACAATGCAAGCGTAGTGCTCGGTTTTTGGCTCCACCATATATTTGGATTTCATCGACTCGAAGATATCTAGCCCTTCTTTAACCTTGCCGGTGTAACTACAAGCCGTCAGAATTCCAACAAATGTAACATCATCTGGTACAATTCCTGAAGAAAACATTGATTGGAAAACCTGCAAAGCCTCCTCACCTAAGCCATGCTGGGCATAACCACATATCATAGAATTCCACATAACAATGTCCTTTGAAGAAAACCTATCAAAAACTAGCTTTGCTTTTACAAGATCACCACATTTAATATACATTGTCATCAAAACAGAGGAAACATATACAGCTTCATCAATTTGAGATCTCAACAACTGGGCATGAACCTGCTTACCATGATCCAGACTTGCTAAGCTGGCACAAACGGAAAGAGCACTTATCAAAGATGCAAATTTTGGCCTAATGCCCTCCTTTTGCATCAATATGAACAAATCAAGTGCTTTCAATTCGAATCCTTTCCTCTCGTAAACCTTAATCATCGCATTCCATGTTGCATCATCCTTAACCTTCATTTCATCAAACACCCTCCTAGCTTTTGCTACCTCTCCATTTTGGGCAAACCCAAGAATCAAAGCATTGCAAGTGACAACCGACTTCACCGGCATCGCCTCAAAGAGTTCAAAAGCTACTTCTATCCTTCCACACTGAGTATAACCCATCAACATAGCTGTCCATGACACCTCATTTTTCACAGGCATCACTTCAAAAAGCTTCCTAGCAACATCCACAAGATTATTCTGAACATAACCTGTAATCATAGTTGTCCAAGATATCACATTTCTCCATGGCATCTGATCAAAAATTTCTCTTGCTTCACTCAAACGTCCTTCTTTACAATATCCCGCTATCATATTAGTCCTAGCAACCACATCCTTTTCCGGCATCATATCATACAGCCTACGTGCATCGTCAATTCTACCTTCTTCAATGAGTCCACCTAACATCACTGTCCATGAAACCACGTTCTTCTCGGGCATTAACCAAAACAAGGACTCTGCCTCCCCCATCATACCCTCTCGAACATACCCCCGAACCATGGCGGTCCATGAAACAACATTGCGTTCCGGCATTTTATCGAACACTTTCCTTGCTTCAGTGACCATTCCATTTTTCGTATACCCAGAAATTAAACCATTCCAAGATACGGTGTTTTTATACGGCATTTTGTTGAATAGAAGTAGGGCTTCATTGGGTTGGTTATTCTGAAAGTAGCCAGCAATTATAGAGTTCCACGAATCGACTGTTTTGTTAGGTAATACATCGAACACTTTGCGGGCATTCTCAATTTGACCCTCACGAACCAACTGGGCTATTCGATACCTGGGTACAGCCGAAAAGCTTGTAAAATTCGCTCTACATATGTTTAAGAGAAACCGCATAGATGAGTAAGAAAGCTTTAATTTTTTTCAAACGCTGAAATTAAACGAAAGCCTTTTGGCACAGAAATAATAAAACAAATCTCAACTAGAAGATGCTACGTTTGCAATTTTGCATCTCCAGGGAAGAATACCCGAGTCGGATGGTTTTCAACCCGACCATCGTGTTATTAATTGAAAACTTTAATTGAATTTAAATTTAGGGTGAAAAAAATTCAACTTATTATTATTATAATTATTTTTTATATATTCAAAAATAATTTTTATATTAATTTTTTAATTAAATTTTTATTTTTCTAATAAAAATGATATAGATTTGTGTCAAATTAGGTCTAATCTAATTGAGGATAAATTTTTTCCTTAAAGATCAGGTTGAATTTCAAGTCAAAGTTTGAGATCCTCTTACATTTGAGGCAGATCGAGTGAGGAATGAGAAACTTGATTTTTAAGTTAGGTTTGAGTGAATCAAAAATTCAATCTGACCTAACCCATGACTATTTCTAGTTCTATACTATATATTGAGTGTAAAATTTATATACAAAATTGAATTTGATAAAAATCCCATTGAATTCCAAATATAACGCAAGGGTTGAATTATTCATCTAATTCTTTTACATAGTAGAAACCTGATAAAAGAATTAGACCCAAAAACATAAAAGTTCTCAAATGGTAGTCCAATGCAACGCATATAGATTATCTTCAAAAAGAACACATGAATCTTGGTAGGTAAATAGTAATGAAATCTCTACCATAAACAACCTCAAATGGAACTCCATATAATACATATATAGATGTATATTATAAGAATACAAGTAAATCTTTCGATAAAAATGTCAAATCAAAAATATTTTTAAATTTAAAGTCTGAGAGGATTAAGAAAAAGAAAGCCTAAAATCTACTAAAAATAAATATTGATGTAGAATTTTATATTAATGGTTAAATTTATAATATTTTAGAAGTAGTAGGAGATGATAGTATATTATCAATATAAAATATATAAAAATTTAAAAATTGTAGGAGGGATTGTATCAACTTTAATTCACCCTAACTACGATCGTGAGCCTCCCGTGTACACGACAGTAAGATGACATAATATGGATGCTACTTGACTGGACGACCGGCTACGGATAACATGGCTGTGGGCCTGGGAGTTAAACAGCTAGATCCACCGGAGATGGGGGCCTAGGCTGTTGGCAAGTCAGAGATATCCTCTCTGTGAAACTTCTCTTTTCACCTCTGCCGGGAAATATTTACAATATAGTTGAGACAAAGTAAGCAAAAATTATGTTTTATTTAGGACATTGACATGCTTTAGAACTGTATCAAGAGGTAAACCCAGCAGCATAATATGGAATTCGGACACTTGGTCAAATGCAAGGAGTTGGCCCCAAAATTCAGTTGCAGAAAAAGGACCAAACAGCAGCAGCGGCTTTAGTTTTCATAATTGTCATTAGTTAGCCATAAACATCAACTTCTCCCACTTCAATCCAGCTGGTCAAGATTATCAATGTGAGATACAAGCATGTTGATGTTTACATGACCATAGGAGCTTGGGTCATGCATCTTAGATGATTTGCAACTTTCAGCACATGGGAATGAAGTTGATTGCATTAAGTACACTTGCTGTCTTATAGTATAAAAGGCTGACCCACAATTCTCTGTGATTTGATCAAACTGACATTATTTAACCGAATATTTACCTTTTTAACACCGTTTGATATATATTTTCCGAAGTGGCATCCTTTCGACTGAGCTGGCGAAAGGCGCATCCCCAGGGACGCGCTTTACCCGGGTTTTCGCTGAGTTGGATGCCACGTGTGGAAGGTGCATCCTCGGGGACGCGCCTTCACGGGATTCTGATGACTCGACTGCCACGTGTGGAAGGTGCATCCCCGGGGACGCGCCTTCCATTAAATGCCATAAATACCCCCATCCGTTTTCCTTAACTACCCCTCCTCCTCCCCTATATAAACCCCCTCAACCCTCCCTCATTCTTCACACCAAAATTAATTTATGAATTTATATTTAAATTTATTTTTATTTTAAAGTTATTATGAATTTATATTAATTTTAATTTTTTATAATGTATATTATTTAGGATACTGATCGTATTTTAGAAACTTTTATTAAAAATCCACGTATACCGACACCGGAACGTATTTTGCCATATTTGGCTTCTGCCGGGTTCGAGTATATTGCAACAATTATTGGCGGTTGCAAACTCGAACATGTCCTAATTTCTGTACTGATTGAGAGGTGGAGGCCCGAGACACACACTTTTCACCTTCCATGTGGAGAGGCCATAATTACATTGGAGGATGTCTCTATGTATTTGGGGCTTCCCGTCGACGGAAATATGATGTGTGGTATGGCGGATGGTGATTGGCAATCAATGTGCATTGATTATTTTGGAGCTGCTCCGCCAGAGTTTAATGGAGGTAGAATAATTTTATCTTGGTTGAAAGCTAATTTTGAGGTTTTAAATGAAAATGCTTCAGAGGATCAAGCAAAGGCATGTGCTCGGGCATATATTCTACGAATAATTGGAGGAATATTGATGCCCGACAAATCTCGCAACCAGGTGCATTGTATGTGGTTGCGGCATCTGATCGATTTTGATGAAGCTGGAAGATATAGTTGGGGCGCTGCAGTTTTGGCATTTCTCTTTAGAGAAATGTGTCGGGCGACGAATTATAAGAAAATTGCTATCGGTGGATGTCTCCTGCTTCTACAATCATGGGCGTGGTTCCGCATGCCTTTCTTATGCCCGATCGTGAATGAACCATACGTATTCCCCTTATTGTTGAGGTAATTTTTGAACTAAATTTTGATTTAAATATTTTTAATTAAATAGGGTGATATTTAGTTTATATTATATTTCATAGGTGGTCGATGAAAAGAAAGAACCATAAAAGTATACCTACTGGGTTAGAGGAAATTCATTTACTTATTGATACGAAAGCTGGGTCTGAGGTATGTTTTTAAATCTGTTTAAATATTAATATTTTAATTTAAAATGCTAGATATAATTAGAATATTTTATTTATTTGAATTGTATATTTATATTTCAGTTTCAGTGGATACCTTATGCGAGCGATGAAGTGAAGGCTTGCATCCCACCCCACCTTAGTGGGTCATTAGAGGTATGGATATCGGTTATATCTCTTATATGTTATGCTATTATTGAGTGGCATCCAGTTGATCGCGTGCTCCGTCAGTATGGTTGTACGTAATATATTCCTGGAGCACCTAGGAATTTAGACGACGTGCATAACATAGATAGACGAGGAAAGAAAGAGGTTAACTGGGTGGTGAGACACAGAGATTGGATTACGCTTTGGGAGAACCGATATACACTGTTGACCCCTCGACAATATTACGTTGAAACTGGTCATATGGTTACGGATAACTATATGGATTGGTTTAATGAAAATGGGAAGCCGTTTCTACTTTCGGCGGAAGCACGAGGGGTTAACATTCCTAGACGCCGAGAAAGACGTCAACCGTCTCAATATCATTGTCCCCCGACGCGTGGACGGAGAGAATGCGCTACCAGTTCTGCATCAGTCCCACCACAACATCCTTATCCGTCGATGCCGCAGGGGTACATGCCCAACCCTCCACTTCATATGCCAAGCCCACCAGTTCATATGCCATCTTCGCAGGGTTACATTCTAAGCCCGCAGGGTTACATTCCTAGCCCGCCAGGTTACATGCCTAGCCCGCAGGGTTTTATACCATATGGAGGTGCATATACGACTATGTTTAATGATCCAGCATATGGTTTATATGCATCTTATTTGGCTGGTGGTGCTTCTCCGCAGACACCTCAATCTCCATCTGGATCACAGACATCGATGCCAATGTTTCCACAGTTTTCACAGTTCCCGGGGAGCGGTGGGATTGTTACTAGCACTCCTCCAGGGTCGTTATTTTATACAAGCCCTTCAGCCCCTTCAGCGTCATCTACACCAAATGAAGAAAATGTTGCTGATGATGATAGTGAAGATGAGGAGACTGAAGAACAAGTTCCACGAAGAAATCCTCCACGAAATAGACAACCACCGCCCTGTGGAACTCATTCGAGAAGACGACATCGGTGATCCAGTTGTATTTTAATGTTATTTAAATAGTTATATTTCAGAATTTTATGTAATTTGGTTATGTTATTTAAATGTTTCATGGTTGTTACATACATATTTTTAATGTTATTTTTATTCACATTTAACATTAAATGTTTGATAAATATTTTTAAAATACAAATTATATTATTCAAAATTTAAAATAAAAATAAAAATAATATTATTCGAAATTTAAAATTAAAATATAAATTATAGTATTCGAAATTTAACATTAAATTTCAACTTAATATTCCAATTGTATTCGAAATTAAAAGTTATATTCAGATTATAGTTCACAATACTTAAATTGAAATTAAATTTATCCATACATATGATTTTATCATTAACATATATATTAAAACGTATACATTAAAATCAACTTATCACTTCACATTTATTCGTAAAAACATCTCGATGCTCATTCCATACAATTTCAATGTCACAATCAACTTATCACTTCACATTTATTCAATTTATCCATAACATTTTATCTAATTTATTCAAACTTCACATAACGTTTTAATTTAAGTTATGAACTTAAATTAATCTATATGTATAATTTATTCTTAACTTGCTGAACTTTCAAAAGAAGTTAAATTTTGGTTATAAATTAGTTGATTTCACAATCCATCTAGTGTCCCCGAGGGACATGAGTGACATAATAGGGCAATGATAACATATTATCTGACAAAAAATGGAAGGCGCCCCCCCGGGAACGCGCCTTCAAGTCCCCTGAGAAATAATAAGTACTGATATGAATAGTGTCTCCGAGGGACATGAGTGACATAATAGGGCAATGATAACATATTCTCTGACAAAAAATGGAAGGCGCGCCCCCGGGAACGCGCCTTCAAGTCCCTTGAGAAATAATAGGTACTGATATAAATAGTGTCTCCGAGGGACATGAGTGACATAATAGGGCAATGATAACATATTCTCTGACAAAATAATAGAAGGTGCGCCCCCGGGACGAGCCTTCAAGTCCCCTGAGAAATAATAAGTAC